TATTTACATTTGCTTTTATGTTTTGCTTAGTTAACTCTACTTTAGACAGTGCTGGTGCGTTAATGTGGAAACGGGTGAAGAACTGATTGGCACTCGAGTGATGGCAGCTGTAACTACTAGGCCAAATTGCCATAGTAAATTTTTTTGTTCTTTTTCAAGTATTCAGTTTGTGCTAATCAAGCAGCGCTTTGGCATCCGGATTTTATTTCAAAGATATGTACCGGCTCATTATTACCGTAATTATACGCATGTTATTACAGCTGCGGCAACGTCCTGTTCAACACTTTGTGAACAGATAAAATGCGAGCACGGTATCAGATTAGATTCGAGCGGGTGTCCACTCAATGGTTTTTGTGAATGCAAAAATCCTTGTGAGGCAAGCCTTCGTTTTACAGTTACAATAATTACCCTTTTAATTCCTAAACAAAACGAAGACGCTTGTATGTGAATACGATCACTAACAGCCCTGGAAGGAAGCTGGATGTATGAGAAAAAACGGCAAGAAAGGGAATGCTTGTGGTATTGTTCCGCAGTTCTAGCAATGATATCAAATAAATTGGAAAATTCGATGTCAGAAACTTCGGTTTGTCAGCACCGATTCTGTCAAGAGTTGATAATAATTAAGTTCATTGCAGGAAGTTAAATGTTTTCGCGAGGAAGATGTATGTGTTTTGATGCCAGTGGCTTGTATTACATCCTCATGTCCCTCAGTGCCGCAATGTAAGATTCCGTCTGCGAAAACCATCACTTTTCTTTAATTCACTGGGACTTCAACTGCTCGCCACCAAGACATTCTTTCAGCGTGCTTAATTTATGCTCATATCCTCACTAAGCTCGTTCTCTCTCTCTCAGAGTATCTGGTTTTCAGGCAAGCGAAATCCTTGTGCGGATGATTCGGAAGCAATTCGAGATAGAAATGGCATCGTGTTTTCGTGCGTGCAAGACGAAGACTGCGGTAGAGGTCACTGTAAATTACTAATGCACGAGCAGTCACACGGAATTTGTTGCTCTTCAGTAGCATCCCGTAAGTACTGCATTTTTGTGGGCACATCTGCACGTCAAGTAATAAGTGCATGACAAAGTCTAATTTTGCCTCGGTTTATACGATACGAATGAAGAGTGCCTGCATGCACGCAACTAGTTCCTAAGTCAGAAGTCAAAACATCCTCCATATTCGCTCTTGAGAGGCGGAAACATCCAGGAAGTAAACGAGTGGTAGCAAATGCCAACAGTAGCCAAGTGCTTGCAAGGCTGTCAATAGCGCCCGTTTTTGAGGGTTGCTCACAAGCAAACCTACGGCGAATTTGCCTCCTTGGCATACGTCAGCACCAATTTATCATCGAAAAAAATAAACGGATCGTAAGCGGACTGGTTGTCCTCTTTCGGCGAAGTAGCTGCAGCTAATGTCTGGCACACATTTCAGTTGCACCAACAACACTGTATTTGATTCTGATGCTACTGTCGCGATGATTTTGGTAATCTTGAACAATTTTATGCTTTTATAAGATCTAAAAGTCATTCCAGGCAACAATTTGACAGAAAAGACACTCAAGCATGCAAAGAGGGGCGAGTGTCCGGTGCATATACCATTCGAAGCATCAGCAGACACAAGTTTTAAAATTTTTGTTTTTGTCTGTCACCAGTTTTTAATTCTGCCGAGATAAATCATTTCTATTCATGAGAAGGCCTACTTTAAGATTTGCTAGTTTGTTTTGGCGGCACCATACATCTCAGAGACACTGAAGTGTCTCAAATCTGTTTCTAAAGCTTGATAAAGAAATTCACGAAGAGCGTTGTCGGCGAATGATTGCTCTAGCCAAGTTTCACCATTCTGTTTCTACTGCCTGTACCTCTTGCAGAGAGTGAAATCTAGCGGGGATTTTATTTTTAGTTGTGATGCTCGAGTGCCAAAAAGAAAAATCAGTCTGCCGCTGATTTCTTTAAAGATTTCTTGCTTTATATATTTTACCAAAAGTTTTTATTTGAAAGTGTGTTGCATTTAGACTGCAGCTTGGAGTGTTCTGATAATTCCGCCTGCGATGGGATACAGCTGTGCTGTAGTTATGGCTGCAACAAAATTTGCGCATATCCTGAAAGTGGAACTAGTATGTTATTTTTTTGGTTGCTCTTGTTACTTGCTTCTCTAACTGAAATAACTTCCGAGTGCCTCTGCTTCCCATAGCAAGTGCGGAGGAATTTTTGACTTTTGGCTTTGAGGGGAACAGAGCGCAAAAAATGATATCGTTTCTATTTGCATTCTGCAGAGTCATATATACACTACTATTATCACTTGATAAAACGAGTGAAAAAGCAAACCGGTGGTGAACTCAGTAGGAGCGCTTTGACTTTCGATGTGGTGTCATTCGCGTTATCGAGACGAAATCCGCCAAAACCGGCATGCACGTAGTCAGTTGTTGAGAACGTTCTTTGCTTCACGTAACAACTGTCCGCGCGGTTGTGTTCTTTTTAATTGGTATGATTCATGCAAACATGATGATGTGCGGCTATCATCCGCCAGCTTCTGTTGTTATCGCATTACTGCACCTTGTAAACGCTACTTTAGGTCGTGATGACATGCTTTAAGCATATTCGGCTACATCCCCTTCCTGGCCAGTAACTGGAATTGTAATTTTTTGCGTTCTTCAGTGCTGACATTTCACCACCGTACTTTATTGCTTCTAGCACAGCGGTTCTGAAGAGGTGAACACAGTCCTCCCTTACCAACGCATTTCGGGCATCGGCCACCACTGACGAGTTAAAACTTTTTTTTTTACAAAATTATCTTATTTGGTAAATAACTGTATTTCAGACTGTGTTTTGCTTTCCGCAGCTATCTCGAAACTTCGAAATTTTGACGCTCGTGTCAGCCTCAACATGCCGCAATGCAACGAATATACGGGTAAATCCACTTTCATTTTCGGCTTTACACTGTCAAATTTTTCTAAATTTTTCTAAAGTTACCAGTGCTTGATTTTTTAGGTATGTTTGAAGTAGTTCAGTGTGATGAATTTAACAGTTGCTGGTGTGTAAACTCTTCGACAGGCGTTGCTGTACATGGCTCGAGGATGAAGTTGCTGGATTCATCACTTGCCTTTGCATTCAATATTTGTGCAGGTAATGCCCTCCTTCTCCCTCCCCCCACCCCTCCCCGCCTTTTTTTCATGCTAATAATACTAACTTTGCTTGGCAAAGATGTTTGAAGCGTTTGTGAAAAAGCCAGATATTACAACCAGTCTTTCCTCGATTCTTTTATTCGTTCAGTGGTAAATTGGTATTGGTATATTCCAATGAATTAGGCGCACTCTCAGCTTGCTTATAAGAAGCTTTTGAGAAGGATGACACCACCTCTTTGACATCAAGTGGTTACTTCTGGCGTTTGCTACCACTCGGGTAGCAGGCCAGAGTGAAATGAAGAACCATGCCGGTTTCAGGTGTGCACCAACACTTATTTTCAGTAAATTCAGGCAGAAGAAAGTGCTCAATTAGCTGCAACGATACGATATGTCCATTTGGTGTTGAAGTAGATGCAGAAGGCTGTCCGAGGGACAACCGTTGTCGTTGCCGTAATTTGTGTGATGCGATACAGTGCCCCAACGACCACATTTGTCTGCTGCGTCGGAAATTATGCTCTGAAAACGTGTGTATTCCAATCCCT